TTCCATTAAATCTAATGTATTATTATTAACAAAATAATTATAACCATCATTAAATAAATTAAAATAACTTCTAATATGTGCTTCCAAGAAGTCAAGAATATTTTTTAATCGTTTATTATTACAACTACTTGTATATCCTCTATTAATTATATTTTCATCTAGTAAATACTCTTTAAATTTTTCATAACTAATGAATATTTTATATTCACTAATTTCAATATAATTAATAATAGAATTTTGATTTTCTTCTTCATTGAGTAGTAAAGAGCTGATTTCAGAATCTTCTTTATTGCTTGCCGAATAAGAAGATTGAATATTAAAATTATTATTCCAACCCCAGAAATTTTCTTCATTAACTTCTTTTCTTTTATTTTTTTTAAATAATTTCTTGAAAAATTTCTTGAATTTATGCTCTTCTTTCCATGTTTCAATATATGTTTCTTCACTTGTAAAAGTATTTCGTTTGTTTAATTTATTAATAATTTTTTTGAAAAAAGACATTTTGTAATAAAATTTAATAATTTCTAAACTTGTAAAATGTAATTGTTTCTGTAATAATAATATTAATAGAAGAAAACATCTTTCTTAAATGTATTTTGTATTAAGAATTTCGAAGACATCTTATTTTAATTATTCTTACTTGATAAAGAAATTTAATTTAATTGGTTTCAATAAAATAATCTAATTATAATAAAAATACTAACATTTTATAATCAAGTTTATAAAGAACAAAAATCAATAGATAAAAGCAATAGTATGATACTAAAATATTGATAAAAATAATTTCTAATAATCAAATTCTTTTATACTCAGTAAAGTAAGAATATGGAATTATCATTATTGTACGAATAAATTTTTTGTAAATAATCTGAATATAGTAATTATTTAAAATTTTATCTTGTAGTTTGTAGAATTTAAATAAATCTTGTAACAAATAGTTACCAAATTTTACTTTTGAGAATACAATATCAAATAACCCAAATGTATATTTGTAAATAAATTCATCAAATTCCTTAAAATTCGAAGCTTTGTAATGATCAGCTATATCTTGTGTATGCTTTAACAAAATTATTTGCGAATCAATAATCTTTTTATTTTCTAGTAATTCTTGATTTTGTTGTTCAATTTTTACTTCAAATTTAGCAACTTTATTCTTTAAATCATTATTTTTATTAATTAATTCTTCTTTATTTGCTAACAAATCTAAACTTTTTTGTAATATCTCTTTATTATCTTTTAACAAATTTTTATATTTTTC